CCAGTGATGCCTTGCTCACTGGGGGAATCGCCAACAGTCACATTTTGTAAGGGATGCCGGGGCGGGGTCACAGGTTGTCATATAAATTTCCCTTTCTAAAAAAAAAGGGAAAAAAAAAAAGAGAGTGGTGTTTGGAGTGAAGTCGCTGTTGCACAAATTAAACTTTTTTTTTTTTTTTTTTTTCCACAAATTAAACCTCTAGTACTTCTCGCTGACATTTTTCTACGAGACGGCGCGTGCGCAGCCATTCTTCTACGACACGGCTCATGTCCGGCGGGATGTACCAGCCTGCCGTTTCCTACCATCGAATTCATACAGGCGACCATCGAATTCATACAGGCGAAAACAGTAGCGTGCACGGTTTGTTTTTTGCACATGATTTTTTTTGTGTGTGAAACAGTGGGCGAGTACATCCTGACAGACATGGCACAGCCACTGTTTTTCAAGTGCATTTTTTTTTTTTTTTTTTTTGTGCAAAGCAGCAGGCCGGTACATCCCGCCAGACACATGGCACGTGCATGGCGGCCTGCCTGGCTGAGAAGAGTACTGGTCGTTTATGTTCCTTCCCTCCGTTCCCCATGGCGATCCTCTCGACCCATAGGCAGCGGTGGGACTTCATCCCTGGGCGGTGGGACATTATTTTCAAATTTCTTGTCACTTCTCTCCCCTGCCTTTTTTTTCTTTTTTTTATCCGTTGCTGCCGTGGCCACATTTGATTACTACAGCCATCCCGACCAACTGGACACAGTCAAACCGACTTGATTTCTCACCGTTGACTTGGATGTCGGAGATTGACGAATGGACTTTTTTTAAGTTTTTTCCCTGTTCTAGCCTTCTAGGTGCATTGCAATATTGCAGATAGGTCCCAGTTCCACCTGCTTTCTTTTTCACCTTTTTTTAAGTTTTTTCCCTCTTTTTCCCTCAAAAGTTTTGTTTTTTAATATGGCCCCACTGCACAAGCTAAATATATAAATCATGAACTGCTTTCTGGGAAGCTACCACACACCTTCTCCGAAATCCTCCTCATTAACCAAAATAAATCAATCAATAAATAATTAAAATAAATAAATAATGCCCTTCATCGGATTCATCCCGCAGATGGATAGTACATACTAGACAGCACAAGTAGAGATGCAATTCATCACAAGTAGTTGCAAAACTTCTGTTTTTTTTTTTTTTTTTTTTTTTTTTTGTGAGTTGCAAATCGTCGCAAGTTAACATGCAAGTACACAGAATACATATACACACCAAAATCATGGCAAAATGACTGAACATTAGGAATCATCATGTAGACAGGCTCCCCGACCAGTTTCATCCACTATTGGAGAATGATCAACCAGTTGCATGCGGTCATGACGATGGGGCTTTTGCGTTCCTCGGGAGATGGTAGCATCGAGCGAAGCGTACAGGAAAAATAAATGCAATCAGTGAAAAGAGAAACTTCATTAAAAAAACACTAAAATAGTGTTCAAAATTGCAAAAAGAACGCATCGAACAAACTCAGATTACAAGTACCCCCCCCCC